TATTGTACTAATTCATTATATATAAATGATTATGGTGTGTTTAAACTTCTTTCATTAATTACTACATATTTTCTACACTCACAATGTTTGCCAGCTCGCTATATAATCAACTTGATAATGTTAAATCCATCATGCAATGCATTTCCTTCCAATTTTTGTGATAAACTAATATATAATTGACTAAATAAACATCCTGCAAAGTTTCAATAAAAATTTCCAAGTTTTTCTTACAATTTCCGTGGTTTCCATATTATTTTTATCGATATCGATATTATCCCGATATTTCCATCGATATTTCCGTGTTTTCGAACTACCGATATTTCCGATATTATCGATATTTAATACCTTGCTACTGAGATAGGAAAGCAAAATTATAAATTAAACTAATTGATTAGTCATGCAAATTTCTCATGGAGTTAATATCATTATAAACCCTACTTGAATTGATCCCCATCATACTTAAGTACTAGTATACTGCATTACTAATCTACACATTTGTGTCTTTACATAAGATCATCTCAAGCTTAAAGCAATATAGGACAACCCCATCCCTTTAATAAAAACACGCCAAATGTCAATTGTGCTACATGTTTGCAAACTTAAAATTTTAATCCATATTGATTATTTCCCACAGCAACCAAGCTATTTAATTCAGTCTATATATATTTCCTACATTTTCATGTAATACAACTGATTTAAAATTTGACTCATGTGAATTTATTTTGCTCATTCAAATGGAAATCAGAGGCAATAAAGATTTGGGGTTTAAGAAGTATATCCAAAAACTGTCCGTGAGGCATTTGAGTGGGTGCTTGCTTAGGGGTGATTTGGGAGTGAGGTGCTTAAAAAAAAAAAGCACTCATGAAAAAAAGCTGTGAGGGTTTTAGGTATTTGGTAAACTGAAAAAAAAAAAAAGGCTTATTTTGGAAGCTGCTGTGAGAATAAGCTGAAATCAAAGGAAAAAGCTGAAGCTGCTATTTGCAGCTTTGGAAAATTGGCTTTTTTTCAAAGCACACGGAGCTACAATGCTCCTTTAATGAAAAGACCCACTATCAGACTGCTTTTTTTTTTCCAAAAGCACTTTTACAAAAAAGTTTACCAAACACTCTGCTGATTTATTTCACAGCCGCTTATTCTCACAGCACAGCCGCATATTCTCACAGCAGCTTTTTTTCAAAGCACAGCAATACCAAACCAACCCTTAGTGTCCCCTTGTGACCTGTCCACCCTGAAAGCAGCGACTGGAGCTGCTGGGGCCAGCCAATAGGCTCACTCATGCACATTACTAACGAAAAGCCACGAACAAACAAGACATATATGCACTTTTATATGCATGCATCTTGGCATGTCTTAAAAATTATACTTTTCCCTCGTTCTGTATGCCACTTATATGCATATAAGAATTAATCATGTTCAAAACATATATTTTCTCTTTGTTTTGATAACCAAGTTTAAAACTTAATAGTCAAAACTAACCATATGCATGATCAACTAATTAATTCGTAATTGACATATATAATGATCAATATTGTTTGCTTTGATAGGAGACTTTACCGAGCTTGCTGACTTGGATGCTTCATAGTCTTCCTTGGCAAGATTTGTACAGAAGTATATACTTGTATATGCTTACAAAATTGACAACAATGTTAGCCTAAATAGTTGTATCTATCACTAAATCAATTCAACCAAAAACATTGGCATGAATATCGAAATAGAAAGCTTAAAGCATGCCATATTCTTCCAGTCATAATTAATTTTGTTTGTACCATACTTGACCAATCCCGAAACTACTGAGCACCAGTCAACGTTATACCTTCAAGGATCCACAAGAGTTTCCCTCCAACCAGGAGGCCAATCACAGCGTGACATGTGTCAACATCAGAGACCAATCATAGCGCGACACGTGTCAACATCAGAAGCCAATCACAACACGACACGTGTCAAAGTCAGAACAAAGCTAGAGACTCTCTTCTATAAAAGGAGATCATTCTCTCACAATATTTCCTAATGTCATTTGTACTAAATCATTCACTAGTACTCACTAAAGGAGAGTTTGAACCTATGTACTTGTGTAAACCCTTCACAATTAATGAGAACTCTTCTACTCCGTGAACGTAGCCAATTTGAATGAACCATGCACATCTTCTGTTTGCTTCCCTGTTTATGTCCATTTACATATCTATCCATACTAGTGACTGGAGCAGTCTAGCAAAGGTCACAAACTTAACATTTTCTGTTGTACCAAAGTCCTCACCGATTTTGTGCATCAACAAATTTAATAAACCAAACTGACCCAATCTTTCTTTATGAGAACTGAATACGAGAAAGAAGCTTGAAGTGCTTGAAAGTCTTACCATTCAACAAGATTAGTTTACCAGTTTATATGTAATATATATGAGAGCAGAATATGTGATTTCAAGGAGATGAGATTCCCTGCAAGTCGAGTGCATCTTTCACAAGGAGATGAGATATGATTCCCTGCAAGGCTGCACGTGCCTTGGTAGGTGATGTCTATGACTTGTTGTCTTCCATTGGACGATGGTGTCTCTGTGTCTCGGCATGGTTCATTGGCTTTATTAGAGCGACGATGGCTTTACTTACTAGTAGCCAACTTCTGTTCTCCGAAGGTTGGGGTAGGCACGCACCGACCAAAGGGGGCAAACAAAATCGTAAGCCCCGTCGGCCTCTGCTCTTTAACCGACCTCCAAATTTGATTTTTAAAATTTAACCAACACATGAATTTAGGATCAAAAGGAACTGGTCATAGAATGTCTGCACATATCATATTAGTACGCCAAGAATATGGAATCACACTTGAATTTAAGACCAAAATTCAGTTTATGTATTTTGTAAAACGATTATACGTATCGTTGAACTTAATAGGTTTTATTATATAACTAGTCTCTCTGATACTAACTGTTAGCCAAAATAGGTTATACAATTAAAACACAAACGAATGAGTGACAAACATGATTCCCGTTGTAATCATGGTACTCGAGCAAGGAAGTTGAAGGGCATGGCAACACCAAGATCTTCTACAAACACCTAGCCGAATACAACTACTCTATAGGAAACATTATGTTGTGTGTTCTAGGGCTTATAGGAATCGGTGTTTTTATATATGCTAAAAGCTAGGGTTTCCATCCATAAAGAAAACTTAAATTTACTTTCTTAGCCTCCAAGTCAAATATCATAATCATATTCAATTAAAGATTTCATCCATTCTATTTCCAATATAAGACATCTTATATAGAATTGATATCTTTAAGACATCAAATAACAATCAACATTATTCTCCAATATTACATTCCTATTACATGTAGTAGACCACTTAAAAGTTGATTTATATTGGATAAATCCAAAAGCAGCTCAGACCATGGTCCCTTCCATTGAAAGTGCTTACTCATTTTCATAACATGCAGGTGAACAGTGTCGTTTAATGAATTTTGAATGCCCAATTGCCCAAGCATACCTTCAAAACAACATTTACCGTTACTTTACTCTCTTCTGTGCCCTTATGACTCTCTGCGTTCTTCCATTCTCGGCTCTTGCTCTTTCAGCTCGTCTTTCATCTCTGCGCTAGTTTTGTCCTTACCGAGAAAAATCTGCAAAATATCGAGTCTGGTGATGGCGAGATACACTGGAACTGAAGAGATGGACATGAGACTGGTCCGTGCAGGGAGATGGGGGCAGAGCAACGATGGGTCAATTTCATGAACTTTAGACGGTGGTGGTGGTGGCGTCTTTGACCGTGTGAGTTGTTGGTGACACAATTCCCCCCTACGAGTGTTTGCAACTCGTATCAGTTTAAAAGGCCTTGTAACATCTTAAGTAGGCATGAGGCTCTTTTAAACGAGTGATTTTCACATAAATGTGACTATTGAAATGTATGAAAGCCTATAAAAATGAAAGAACAGAAAGGAAATGATTTTAAATACTTAGCAAATCTCAAATACAAAGTAATAACTTCAAAGAAATACAAAATATAAGAGATCGGGCAAGTTTAGATCTAGTCGGGCAAGTTCTTGCATGCTACTGAAGTGCTTTAAAATGAACTTTTCTTAAAGGAAATCAAAACTACATGCAATGTAGCAAAAGCTTTAAACATAAATACAAGTACAAAAAAGCTAGATTACAAAGGGAATTTGAAAGAAGGTAGGCTGTTGAGCTTTAAAGTCTTTTTGTGTTGTAAGTTGAATGTCATTTTCTTCTTCCTTTTTGTTGCTTTATATATAACTAAATTTCAATTCCAATTAAGCCTTTTCTTCTAAATAAATTTTTTTTTTAAGAGGAACAATTAGTGGTAAGCCACGGTTATCCACTCCTTTTGGGGGTCGGGAAGACTCATAAAAGTATTTCAGCCTCCCCTGACCACAAGTCTGGCTTCCACACCAGCAACGGGTTTCGAACCTAAGACCTCCAGTTTTTAATTTGAAGAAAGCCTCGCAATCCACCATTTACCACTGGACCACCAGCTCTCGTGCTTTTTTCTTCTAAATAATTATTTCTGCTCCTAGTTGTTGATGTGTCTATTGACAAATTACATTGCAATTTAAGCTTCATCTTCTTCAAAACTACCAAAATGCCATCAAAATATACTTTTTTTCTATGTTAAAAATCGATTGGGTTAAATATATAGTGTGAAAAAGGTTTGCCGCTCACAATACCACGTGAAAAGTACTTATGAATCATTTGGACTTGTGCACTGTCCGTTTCTGCTAAAATGAATAAATACCCATTTAAATTTTAAATGCAATAAAGGCAATTGATGGTTTGCTATGGGCAGAAGTAGGGCTAGTTTGGTGTTGCTATACTTTGAAAAAAAAAGATGTTTCTGATGTACTGTGAGAATAAGCAGCTGTGAAATAAAGCAGCAGAGTGTTTGGTAAACTTTTTTGTAAAAGTGCTTTTGGAAAAAAAAAAAACAGTATGATAGTGTTTGGTAAACTTTAATGTAAAACAGTTATGACTATGAAATGACTAAAAAGGTATAATACTAGATGTGCTATGACAAGCCACGACGTCGTTCACTAGCAACCTTCTCCCTCCTCATCTTCTCCTTCCGCACTGTCGTCGAAAATGGGACCTACCTCCTCACCTCCTTCATCGACCGCGGTCCTTCTCTCAAATCCCTCATCTCCTGCCTCAACCTTGCTGGCGCCGGCAATACCAACCACCGCTCTCCCAGATCTCCAGCCAAGTCCCCTTCTTCGATCTCTCTCCGTCGCCGACACCGCCCATTTCTTCACCTCACTCGCATTGGAACCTTAGATGACGATTTCTTCTCTAGCGATGACGATGACACTCGCTCCCTCTTCAGCCCTAATCAGATCGCCTCAATCCTCATTTTCTCCTCCTCCTCTCACTCCATCTCCAAATTAGGGTTTAATGGAACTTACGGGACTAGGGTTTCTGAAATTGTGCGCTCCAGCCTCATGTTCAAGGCTGAGAGATTCACCATTTCTGATGACAGAGCTAGAGGCAGAGATGGCGATGGAGAAAGCAATGAAGGGGAGGAGAAAGGCAGCGATGAAGAAATGGACAATCGGGCCGTCGATTTGCAATTCTTGATCAACAGATTGGAGTTGGGTCGCCGGGACGTGGCGACGTTGTTCTTCCTCTTGAAAGTGTGAGGAATCAAGAGACTTTTGAAAATAAGCCACTTTTTAAAGCTGTTTTTTGCAGCTTCCACTTTTTAGCTTTTTATTTTTCATCTGAAACATTGAAAAAAAGCTGGTTTGGGGTGTTTACCAAACACCAAAAACTCTCCCAGCTTTTTTTCATACCAGCTTTTTTTAAAATCAGCTCAACCCCAAACCATACCGTGATATGGTTCATGATCAATATATACATATAAGTCACGCGCAAAGCTGATGAGTCACGTGCTGCCCTCTACCTCTAGAAGAAGAACCTTGTCAGCTTAATCCAGTCAAATTCTCTTGTCCATGCATTTGTCTTTTGGTCACCAAGACAGACAGAGTTGATGTGGGTGGGTGGCTGATGCTTGGTAAACTGAGTTGGAAGTTATCTAGCAATTTTCCAATTTGATTTTGGTCTCGTAGCTGGCGTGAGCTCGCTGCAACTTGGACGAGGATTGAGCGTCCAACATAGGCTCATCCCCGTGATTATGGGCACACAAAGGCGTTATATGTCAATAATAATGATGTTCAAGTTTCTATCCGAATGACATATTATTGACAATGATACCACCGTAGCGACATACTCATTCCATGTAAGTTGCTCTTCTCTAGTATGTGTATTTTAAGTTATAATGTTTGTGTTTCAATATATATAATAACATGTAGTATGATAAGGAGCCATTTGATTGATCCGACTAGAATTGGTTGCGCTATTTAACACCAGTCTCCGTCCGGACCAAACAGGAGGTTAATTGGTTTTACCTAAGGATTGATTTACCATGAAGGTAACCCTTGGTCCCTTGTGTTAACCTTTGAATGGCACATGGACATGACACGTTTACTTTGGCTATAGGACCTGCTTGTCTTAAGCCATGACGGTTTTTGCACACTCCATCTCCGCCCTGACCAAACAGGAGGTTAATTGGTTTTACCTAAGGATTGATTTACCATGAAGGTAACCCTTGGTCCCTTGTGTTAACCTTTGAATGGCACATGAACATGACACGTTTACTTTGGCTATAGGACCTGCTTGTCTTAAGCCATGATGGTTTTTGCACACTCCATCTCATATTGATGTTAGGCTTTTTAGCCAATCATAACTTTTTACTTTAATCCTTGAAATTATCCACCGTCAAGCATTTTGATCATTTTGTGAAAAATCTCTATTAATTTGAAAAAATTGTCAGCTCATTATTACTTAAATACAAACAAAACTACTTTTGTTTACATACACATTTATTATGATATAAATGAAATTTAAAAGTCAAAATTATCATATTTTTAGCCGTAAAAGAGAATGAGGTACAAAAGCAGTAGAATGCTTGAAATAAATAAATAATAAATTAACAAATTAAAGAAGAAAACAAGAGATCCTGATAGGGTTATCGAAAATTAATACAACACCCTAGCACAAAATAAAACAGAAACAACTTGACTTGTATAATTGGCCCCTCCTATAGCCCCCAGCATGTCGCAGCAAAAGCTCTGGTGGCAAATTACAGTAGTATCATATAGTTCCCCCTACATGAAATCTAGATTATATTCTGCGGACATAATCCCAACGAACTATTTCGCTAACGACACCGGTAAGACAAGAAAATGAAAAAAAAGTACTATATATTCAAATCAGACATTAAGGTACATCTGAAGACTTCTTTCGAAAGAATTTCAACACCTGCCCAAACAACAGCACACCTGAGCAAGGATCCTTGATTCGTCGCACCAAACAACGGCACTCTTATTTAGCTTGCAGATGATTGGGAAATGGCCTTCTTAACAGCCTCGGCATACGTCCTATGCTGATAGGTGAGGGTTGATTCAAGCAAGTCCCACAGAGAGGTCTTTGGATTCCAATCTGTCATAGATAGTTCCATCACGTTGTCAGAATGCCGTTAAGTCACACGGGTTAATCAGATTAAAGACGAGGTAAATGAAAGATACGTACCAAGCTGCTTGTTGATAATAGTCATGTCAGGAATTCTCTTGTCACTATCATCATATCCCACTCCATAGAATTCTTGAGAGCTAACATCAATGGTGGGTGTCTCCAATTTTGGTTCGCTACTTACTTTCGCATAAACCTGTAACATATAGGGGAACATCAATCCTTGTATCCATATGAATTTAATGTAATATAGCTACTGCAACTTAATTAACTAAAAGGAAGATGGTATCAAAGACAATTCTTCACCTCAGTCATCATTTCACCAAGTTGCCTAACAGTAACTTCATTGTTAGGGTTGCCTACATTGAAGATGTGACCATTGGCCCTAGCAGGATTTTCCTGAGGAAAACAGATCACATTACTGAGCGACAACTTTTGCATGCTAAATATTAATTTGAGCAAAAGAGATCTTTATTTTCACTTACGATCATCAACATAACAGCTTCAATAGCATCCTTTATGTAGACAAAAGTTCTCTGAGATTGGCCGCCATCAACGAGCTTGAGAGGCTCACGGCGAAGAAGATTCTGTAACAGATGAAAGCAGAGCACGATCACAACACAAATATTGGAATACCAAATAAATAGGGAATGCTTCAATTATTATCTGGCATACATTACTGAAGCATGCAAGAACTCTTGGAACACCCTCACTTGGGCCGTCAATGCCAGGAATGAAATCCATCCTAGGTCCAATCCAGTTGAAGGGTCTCACAATGGTAAATTCAAGACCATTTTCCGCACCCTCGGCTGTAAACAAGAAAAATTAACTCAGAATCAGAAACCTATATTACAAATACCAATTCATGAGCATCCACATAAAAGTAGAACAAAGAGATGACTAACCATAGATCAGCCTCTCAATCAATTGCTTTGCACATGCATAGGACCATCTCTGCTTCTCAATAGATCCAAAAATGCAAGGGGATTCATCTTCTTTAAGCACATAATAAGCAGGATCCTATGAAAACATAGCACGCAAGTAGTAAAGTTTTCCATTAACAAAATCAACAAACTTCAATGCACCTTATTGCATTGATCACTGACTCATTCTGAAGAAATCAAATTACACAATGAAAACATAGATATGCCTCATATCCGAAGAAAACCGTTAAATAATGTTCTGGATCTACAATTTACATACTCTAATTAGTATTAGATCCCATACTGCACATTTAAGCAAATGGGGATAATGCAATAAGACCGACACACAATTGTAGATCCCAATATTATAATTACGCAATCAAACCATTTAAATAATCCAGCTGAAGAACTTTATGATAAAACAAACACCAAGAAAGGCATAGATCTGAATCGTGTCCAACAAAAACAAACAAAACAATAAATAAAAGAAAATTAAAAAGAAAGGAAGATAGGGGATACCTGACGAAGAGGGCTATCTTTAGGAAGATAGCTTCCAATGGTTTTCCCATACACTTCACAAGTAGAAAAGTGAATCAGCCGCTTGTTGTTTTCGGAACAGTACTTCACCTAACAGAAATTAATCACAAAAAAAAGAGCAAAATTTAAGAAAAACCCACATCAAATCTCACATCAACTTCAATCAATTCCCACCCCACCAACCCAAAATCCCAAATTTCGCAATCAAATTTCACCATCCCAAAAACCAAAAACAAGAAACGAAATGCAGCAGCTGAAAACCCACCACCGGCAAAGCATCGATGAAGTTGCTGTAGATGGTGTCAAGCGGGCGGGTGTTGTAGTCCGCCGGAGTACAGATCGCCGCCAGGTTAATCGTCTGCAAGAAACCCAAATATCCAAACCATTCAAAAAGCAAGACAATTATTGAAAATCAAGAAAATACCCAAATTAAGCAAAAAATAGCCATGAAAAAACGAAATTGAAGAAATGGGCTGTACCAGATCTGCCATTTTGATGAGCCCTTCGAGGCGCGAGTCCTGCTTGATGTTGAGTCGGTGGAACTGGATGCGATCGGACCAGGGGTGCGCGTTCTCGGGCTCGAGCAGATGCTTGATCTTGTCATTGTAGACGTCCAGAGCTAGGACCTTGTGCGGCGTCTCCGACATCAGCTTCTCGCAGAGGTGGGACCCAATGAACCCTCCGGCTCCAATCATGCATATCGTAATCGGCTTTATCGGGTTGCCGTCCAGATCTACTCTCGCCGACGACGCCATTCCCTACGACGAGGTTCTGGGTCCGTGGGGTTTGTCGGTGGGGTGATAAAATTGGGTGGTGGGCGGAGGAGAGAGGGAGTGTCCTGTGGTTGGAGAAGAAGAAGAGAAGAAGGGGAATGTGGAAGAAGAAAATGGGAGGTCAGAACGTATTTAAAGGGAGTGGGAAATGGGATTGGGAGGGAGGGAAGGAGAAGTGATCTACACTCCTCTTTACACTCTCAGAGGCTTACTCGCTCTGTGATTGGGCCACTTCTGCGGGTGCTGGGATGAGGGTGTGGGGTGGGTAACAGGGGATTGGATCTCTTGATATCATATGCTTAATGGTGATGGTTGTTGGATGAATAAAAGAAGGAATGGTACTTTTTGACAAGTTTTGGAAATTGCCAGAGGACTTAGAGCTGGATTTTGGTTATGCCTCATGGCAATCATGCAGGGTTTGGTTATTTAATTGCAATCAATAATGTTTAATACAAGTACATTCTTTCTCTTGACTTCACAAGGTGATTTGCTACTCGCTCATTGAAGACGGGGCACAAATATATTCTCTTTCATTTTCAAATAATCATCCAATTTTTTATCATTTCAAACTTTTATTTATGATGATAAATTATCTTTTTGAATTTTAGATTATATATATATATATATATAGTAGTAGCATCCATGATACATTATTATTTTTAGTTACACACGGATTTTGGGATTATAGAGGTTTCAGTTAAGTCATACAATTAATTAGTTATAATTAAATATCAAATTTGTGACCATAAAAATCAAACATAACATTTCTCACATACGAGACAACACATAAATCTCATTAGACCGTAGTGGTATTAGCTATATTATGATTCTTTTTTTTTTTTGTTACAAAGGATATTACAGGGATAAGATTTCAGAGCTTAGTATGAAAATTAAAAATGGGGTCATCTCACATTTTATAACTAAATTCATCACCAATTCTCAGATTTAACAAATTAAGAGTTATGTTTATTTGTTCCTTAATCTATATTTGTCATTTTTTTTTGTGTGGCAAAGTTAAAAAATTTAAATTTCATAAGTCAATTGAAAATGTTGGGATCGTGTGTGATCGCTCCACTTCCTCCACCCTAGCTACATACTATAACCCTTTGATTAATCCAATAATTGCATTAACAAAGAAACAATCAAAATGCTTGACCAAAATGTTGTATATAAAAGCGTTTTTGGTTAAATGAAAGCGACTTTGGAATTCTTAACCATTCTCCTAAACACACCTGTAAACTAAGCAATTTATTTTTGAAACTTTTATACTTTTATAGATCACGTGATTTGGCATTATTCACTAAATATTTGAGCTTTGGAATAAGGGAGTTTTAACAAAATACTTCCAGTACTGTTTACTTTTAACGAAAAACCACATTTTATACCTTTAACTGTCACTATTCACTATACCTTTAAAAAAAACTTTTCATTAAAAGAGAACTTTTTTTAAACTTTTTCTTAGTTTTCCTTTAGAATAAAGGAAAACTAATGAAAATGGCTTGAAAACTTTGAGTTTTAATGATAAGGACAAAATAAAGGGTAAAGTGAATAGTACCAGGATTGACTTTTTAGTGTAAAAATGTGGTTTTTCGTTAAAGTGAACAGTACCAGGTGTTTTTCGTTAAAGTTTCCTTAGAATAATTGAGTGCATCCATTTCGATATTCAAAGACCCATACGAGAGTTTGAGATGTAGAGCAAGCAAGATTGTCAACCAAATTATTGGGGTTCGTTAAGTTGTTATTGTTAAAGCAAAAGTACTTATACACCCCATCATTAAATAAATAAGTTGCTTTCACAAATCAAATTATCCAATTTTTTTTATAATACGTAAAACTGAGTAGTATAAAAATATTGCAAGTGGTCTTTTACTATAGTAGTGAAAATGTGTTGAGTTCTTACATGACAGCATGGGTTTAAACTCCGTTGATGACTAATCTAACAAAATTTATCAGATGAAAAAAAATAAAAAAAAAGAATAGTATAAAAACATTAACCATTAAATTTTGTATATAAAAATAGGATGAAGTGTGATATAGTCCCTCAACTATCACTTCAGTGAAATTAGGTCCTTGAATTATTTTTTGAGAGTTTTAACGAAACACTCTCGTTACTGTTCACTTTTAACGAAAATGATATTTTTACTCTAAAAAGTCACTCCTGGTACTATTCACTTACAATACTTTTTTGTCATTTTGATTAAAAATTAAAGTTTTCAAGCCCTTTTCATTAGTTTTCATCCCTAGTATTATATTCAAAGCTATTTTATCCAATTTTTTGTCAACTTAAGTTGCTTAACACACTTTAGAGTATAATACCATAATTTCTCGCCTATAAGCCATTAATATTTCATATAGGTTGTGAATCTAACGTCTAATTTACTCTCCGAAGTTAACTTACACTATTTCTTATGAAATGAAAAACTACCAATTTACCCTCTAATTTTAACTTCATACACTATTTCTTTACCATAAAACTAGCAATATATTATCTAATGTGTATCACTTGCAAGTAACGTGACTTAAATTGACGAAAAATTGAATATACTAGCTTTGAATATAAAATTAGGGATATAATTGATATATTTTTATAACTCAATGACTGATTTTTTTGAAAATAAAATAATTTAAAAACTTAATTTTATTGAACTGATAATTTAGAAACTAAATTAACATTTCACGTTTAAAAATATAATATTTTTCTTTGACGAGTTATTATTTTTGGTTTAGAGTTTAGTAGTAGGGAAAGTGATTTTACAAGTTGGGTTTCCAGTGAGCTGTCTCTCTTCCATGCTCACATTGGGTCGTATTAGGGTTTCAATTATAGGAAACCACTTGCTCACTCTTTTAATTTCGCACGCGCTTCACTACGCTCTCAATCTGACCCCACCACACAATCTCTCAATCCCTTTACCACCTTTCATTTTTGCAATCTCAATTTTCCACGCTCACGTTCGTTTCTGTATTGGATAACTGTTAGATAATTAAATAATTTTGATTTTTTTTTTGTATGGATGATATTTAAAGGCTAACTTAGAAAATAAAAAAACTAGATTACGATGTAACATTACAAAATGGGAAGAAGAGTCGATAAGATATAATGAGAAACAAAACCCAAATGAGATGGTAGTATTCCCCAAATTTGAATATGCTATATTTTTTTAGGAATTATTATTAGCACTTCAAAAATCTCATTCTACACTTCTCACAAGTGTATTTTTCTTTCTAATTATAGAAAGTTTGGAGTGTAAAATGAGATTTTTAGAATGTTAATAACAATTCCCATTTTTTATTGTATATCTTTTTTCACTCTCATTTATAAAATCTATAAACGGACTAGCATTCGATGTAGTGGTAGTTGTCTCATTTGGTTGAAAATGATATATGAGTTCGATACACAATCGTAGGTAACCTTATTTTTAGAGTAAACTATAAACTTCATTATGAATGAATTATGTCTTTCTTGTACACATCCTTTAGCTATTGTCCTCATTTCACACTATCATTGCATTATTTCAAATTACAATGAAAATAATAAAAATTGCCCGTTCTCATTACCAATGGCACACGACTCACGAGATGGTTGTAGGAGGCAATGTAAATAAGTTGCATCAGGGAGTGGTCATGCATTTTCCATACCTGATGGTGATCATTCTTAATGCCTTCAACATCTGAATCATCACCAAATCTTTCTGGGCATTTTCTTGTACCATCAACAAACCCTAAAATGCCATGACCTTCACGAAGAAGATTTATCTAAAAACTTCATGTGAGATAGTTGGAATCATTGAGTTTCACCGTCACATATGTAGAAATTCCAGGAATTGGACTTGTAATCGGAGATTGTACGATCTAAAGTTGAGAAGCAATCACCATTATTGCAGAATTTGAAGAAATTGGAAGACATCTCAGTGAGCAATTGATCAAACAGTTTCTGTGCACTTCGGAAGTTGCTTTTCTTTTCAAGTTTCTTGAAGATTATGAAGCAGAAATTGCAGAGAGAATAAGGATTGAAGAACCAGATATCGTCACACGTACTCCTCAACTTTCACATTTGTTAACTTAAATATTTGAATTGGTAGATATGTCTTAAAAACCAAATACAATGGTTGGGTTAAAGCTTAAAATTTAAGCTTTAAACCCCCCAAAAGCATTTCCAATTATTAGGCCTTAATAAGCCATGGGAAGGGAAAAAAAATAGGGCTTGATTCCATCCAGGATTTAAGCTTGACTTAGGGCTGGTTTGGTATTGCTGTGCTTTGAAAAAAAGCTGATGTGAGAATAAGCGGCTGTGCTGTGAGAATAAGCGGCTGTAAAATAAATCAGCAGAGTGTTTGGTAAACTTTTTTGTAAAAGTGCTTTTGGAAAAAAAAGCAGTCTGATAGTGGATCTTTTCATTAAAGGAGCACTGTAGCTCCGTGTGCTTTGAAAAAAAACCAGTTTTCCAAATCTACAAATAGCAGCTTCAGCTTTTTCCTTTGATTTCAGCTTATTCTCACAGCAGCTTCCAAAATAAGCCCCTTTTTTTTTCAGTTTACCAAACACCTAAAACCCTCACAGCTTTTTTTCATGGGTGCTTTTTTTTTAAGCACCTCACTCCCAAACCACTCCTTAAAGGCTAGGCCCGCCCTTGCACATACACTCGCTTGAAAGTTTGCAACCGCAACGTACTGACGGGCCAAACGCAACCCATGTGACAAAGCTGTAGCACTGGGTCTTTGTGACTAATAGCTTTGTTGGCCACTACTTCCGAGCCCAACGACTCTTTGGTTGATCGAATAGTTGGCATGATTGAGCCGTTGATTGATCCAACGGTCTATGATTCAAAATTTATTTTACTTTTTAATTACATTAAATTGAACAACTGTTATCAAGTATGAATTTTCTTTTTTTAAAAAAATCACCAAAAAAATTAGGCTAAAATTATTTTTTAATAATTCGGGGCTTAATTTTAAGCGATAACCATTGGAGAAAAAAAATTGTTTCTGTGTTATTGTCACGTCTCGATTCCGACATACGTTCCAGATCGACATGTGACGTCATCAAGTACTCGTATATCTAACAGACCCCGCCTCCGGGATATGGACAAAGCACAACTCAAGATTTGGATTGCGTAGT